CACTAACTTACGAAATCTGATTTGCAAACATGCATGATGTGATTAGGAGCTAATCGTGTTTGGTCATGACACGATATAATGCAGACCAGCTGCATCTGTTGTGGTTAGGCCCACTTGCAGGATTGAGATGGACATTCATGTGTCACGTCTTGCTTGTGCAGAGAAGTTCTAGGCACCGGAGGGTCCCTATTTTGCGACTCTTGTGGGACTTGTTTCGGCACCTCAAACCGTTTGCATTCCGTGGCGTCTACGGGAGGTGTTACTGTACCTGATGTAGACTTGACAAACAGTGATGTGGACGTGGATGTGAGAGGAGCTGTGAATGGTTGACGCGACTATTTGATGGCAATGGCAATGAGGACGAGATGACACGATGGTAGGTAGCTATCTTTGACATGGTTGAATACTTTGGTCTCACTCCAACGTGTCATGGCGGTGTGTTGGCTCAATACGATGGCTCATCTCACCGCACTAGGCAGTAGCAAGAGCGTCGGATAAGTTGGTCTGAAGTGAGTGAAGAAGAGGCAGGCCTCGATGCGGTCGTGCATGCCTCGCCCATTAGATGTGTGAAAAATGTGACGAGGGCAACTGCTTGTGCAATGCTGGTTGTCGCATTTCCCTCACTTCCAACAAACGCCTCGATAAAATTCGCTGCATGGGCTAAAACAAGTTGTCCACAGTGAACTCAACGTTCGCATATGGCTTTGCAGAGGCAACACTTCTGGTACCGTGGGACGCTTCCGCACGACCGGTTTGCAAGTCAGAGCTGTGCCACCACACATGCGGACTGAACTTACAAAGTAGCGCCCAATGAGTCCTCGTCCAATCGCCTTCCTTCTCAGACCACTGAGGGTAAGGAGGAAGAGGACGAAGGCGAAAGCGCTACTAAGGGAAGGTAGATATAAGGGGAACGATGATTGGAAAAAAAGCCTGTGAATGTGCAAGTCAGTAGGTAATAAATGCACATCCCAAGACTCTTATATACTCTCACCAAAAAATGAAGCACCTTCAAGTCGCTGATGCCTTAAAAGCTTCCATAAACATCATTTCCCGTCAAAGAGCGTGGTCACCAACAGTTCGGATGAGTCGAAGTCACACAGAGTTTGTCAGGCGGGTAACCACATCAACACGTGCGCTCTGCCAAATAATGCGTACTCGCAGTCGACTAAACACGTCCCCACTTCACAGCAACGTTTATTCCCTCCCGCTGATTCCTCACCGACACGACGCCAAATCCAACTTGATCAACACAAATCAGTTTATTAAAAGCATTGCATTCGACTGCGCTATGCTGTGTCGCGATGCGACCAGCAAAACCATCATCAACTTCAGCTTCAATGTCCATAAAGTGTACAACCGCTTTCATCTTAGGTCATACTTTAAAAGTCGGTGTGCACCGTATTACATAATGACATGACTCACGCCAACCACCCGCACACTCATACCCACTGACACCTCACTCTTCCACACGCTTTATAGGCCCCACTGGGACCAGCCAAATACTGATTCAGCTGTCAGGCGCAGCCCGACCTGCATCCATACTCACCATACAAATGTGCAAGGTAAGGATCGATAAACGGTGAGGCGCACTGCCGCCTTCAAACCTACTCTACAACAACTTCCCTTGCTTTCCACAACCTTTCATTCAAAATCTTCCAATTCGTCTGCCCCACAATCCGCTTCCATCAACACATAATGCATCAAAACATTTCAAACATATATTTCTTTCTTGATTTGTTTGTTTATGCTAAATCATCCCTTTTATCCTACTATGTTGTCCAAATTACTGTTAAATCGCTAGTAGGATCATCGTA